CGCTAAAAAACACTGAAAATTAGTTGATTTTGTTTCTACTGATATTTGATGATTTGACTGATTATTTTATACTATGCATGCAGCTGATAACAGTGACATAGTTAATATTTCTGCTGTTTACTCTATTGGCACAATTAGTACTACTAGTACTTTTACTCTAGAAGTACAACTGCATGTTCCAGTTTGAAAACAAAGATACTGGAAGTGAACTATATACCACATTTTTAAGGTAATGGATGTCTGCTTATTTGTATTCCGTATGCGTATTTCTATTTATTAGTCAGTTCGACTTTTCGTAAGATTTGAATTAACCAAGTTTCATGCTTGAGAATTTTTTTTCAGTTTTTTAAACACTGCGATAACAAAGTTTTACCGTAATCAATCGACAAGGCAGGCATATAAGCTCTGATCCACGATCTCAAGTATATACCGACAGAAATGAAATGTGCAACAGATTTATGGATTCTGATTATGCCATGGTAATCACTGCTGAAAACAAACTGGGTGAGGTACGCCAATCGAAAGACAAATCATTTCTACAGGAGGAGGCTGATGGGATAAACCGCTCATTTATAGAATGCAGAGCTTCTGCTGAAATTTTCTGCCTTCCTTATATACGTTGGACATTCGATTATTATAACTACAGGCAGTATATAGGAGCAAGCCAAGGAAAAGTAATAACTTAAAATTTCTACAATAACGAAAAACAATATTACCATCTAGAAATGGCACAGACATAGGAAATGCGTGCAGACTCTAGTGGAAATTCTTCGACGTCATCCAATCCACTTTCTAGAATATTGCGACAAACTGAAAAGAGTGACGGAGTAGATCATCCTTTTTTATTTGCTGGCACAGTACCAATAAATTGAAAAATTCCTTTGGGAAAACTGTACATCACCCCGCATTTCAGACCATGCTAATTCCCAATGGTCATTTTGACATTTGCATCTTGACGAATTTCTTTAAGTTTAGAATTGTGGATCTATCGGTCAAAGGCTAATCTACTCTATGGCCAAATGAGGACAATGATCAAGTGCGGGTTAGATGACAGGGTAAAGCAGTGACATGTATTGGTCAAAAACGTTTCAGCAGCCGTCAAAATTTGTGGCTAAGAGACGACAGGTATTTGAAAAGATTTGAGTTGAGAAAAATGTGACTAGGCAACAACAATGTGACACATAACCTAAAAACTCTAACATACAAAAATTAGCGGCTGCTGCAATGATCAGAAAACCACATTACATTGTCTAATTTCCAAACAGTCAAGACGATGTTGGTGCGCTGCATTAGACATTCTGGAACGATAAGAATATTTCCATTCACGTAACGCTGTAGCATCCTGCATGTCTGTAAACTGTTGCATGTTTATAGAAATCATGCTTGCTGCCATCTCAGCTTCGTAGCGAATTTCAACGATCCTGAGATCTGCAGACGATATCTTCATGTGCTAAAGTTGAGCAACTATTACGCATACCTTTTCTTGTACCTGTCGTACATGATCCAGTTCTGTTATTTTTTTGCTTTTTTGTTTTTCTGTTCAGTCTTCTCACTTCATGGTTCACTTCTCGTTTTCGATCATATTTAAACAATAGCAATGCCTGCAGATGCTATCAAGATTATAATTATTGTGCTATTTTCATCTACTGAGATATTCTCACTGTAATAAATCACTTAAATTTTGTTACCTGACTTCTGTCAGTTCTATTTTATGACTCTGTTGCAAAACGGTCCTTTAAAGAGGCTTTGTTTAAGCACTAAAACTTCAAAACTTTCGACCATGTACTTACCGCCACTGAGGCTGAACGCTGCGAATCTGTATTTGGAGATTTTGAAGCAGACAGAAGTTCACGTATCTGATCGCTTAGGTTTTGGTTCTTTATTACGAGTGTCTTGATCTCATTGCGCAATTCTCTGTTTTCAGCTTCATATTTTCGGAGTCTACAACAAGAAGACCAATTAGAAATCACCCAAGCTTCTTGTAGTTTACGCGATTTATTACCACAACAATTAGTGATTAGCTACTTCTCTGCGAGGAGTGCTTTGCTAAAAACAATCTGACGAAGGGTTCAGCTTAGGTTCCGCATTAAGACGTAGAAAATCAAACGTGCATCTGTTTCTGTGACCTGACTTAGGAAAAAGAGATAGTTGGTAACTGCTGAAATTATAGTAGCCATCATACCTTAATGAGTAGGCGCCAATGTGGCATCTTTCTTTGACCGAGATTGCTTATCGGTAATGCTGGACTTATAATCACCACACCGGGTTCGAGCGTTGGCCGATTCACTTGACTTTCTTTCTTTTGAGGTTGATAAATAAGCATTTTATGGGAAAGAAACAGGAGACTTCATGACATAGGAGTCATCGAGTTGTACGTGTAGTTTCCAAAAAAGAATATGGTATTTCTAACTGGTAGACAATACGGACATGATAGCTAAAGCGCATCATATGCTTCATGGAAAGAGAGGCACCACAAACTGATATCCCAAAATTTACAAACCTTTCTTCATTTCCTTCATGGATATTATGGGCGGGAGCTAAGTTCGGTTTCAATCTCATCAACCGAGAATGCTTCGTCATTTTCAAGAGAGTACTTACAACTAGGTGGTTAATCTAGTGTGTCGTCTGCTGCTTTTTTCCTACGACATGGAATATAATTATTTACATTTGAAAGATAAAAGGGATTATTTGACCAGGGCTCGAACTCTCTGTTAATCTTATAGACTGTATGACCGATGCCCAAGTCACTAAGTACTCTGATGCCGGGAACCATAAGATAACGTTAGAAATTCGTAACGTGGCAATGCCACAACTTGCCACAACACTGTGTCCTACTTTTCAGAAGGTAATTCCCCAAGACTTCACACATGATGCCCAAATGACAAATAAAAAATTCTCTGGCATGGCGAGAAACGGTTGGCTGTATATCACCCTCCCGTTACAACAGCAGTGATAAACCAGAGCCCATCAGACTTTCTCACTATGTGAGGCTAAGCTGTGTCAAGTAATGGCTGAAAAATATAGCCACTACTACCTTGCTTGCCATGGTCGGATTAGCTGTATGGTAAAAAAGGTGCTCACTATGACGGAAAGAAAAAAATTAATAAAAGCCCTTTGAACAACAGAGTCTGATTAACAGTACTTCAAATTATATGTAGCTGAGGGTGCCACGCTTCTTCAGAAAGCTTTCTGCTCTTTTTACATTTGAAAGCAGACATCTAAAATTTCGTAGATCATGTTGCTTGACGTTACCGGTTTTAATTCGACTTTTTCTTACTCTTTCGCATTTCATGCTGCTAAGAACACTGTCCTAAATGAATAACATGAGCGCCAGCTGATTAGATGGTAACCTTGCAAAAACAGTATGAGACCACAGGACACTTTGGAAAGGAAGCCTTTTGCTAAATGTTTGAATACTTTTCTTATTAATCCGCTAGAATAACTACTTGACATGATTTTGTTGCACACCGAACCACGAAACAGTCGTGGGTAGGAAATTATTTATTTTATCCCCATGTTTAATTTATCTTTGCCACGATAAACTCTATTAGGTGCAAATTTTAATGCGTTAGCCAGCAGTGCTTTCTGGGTCATTGAGATACGCAATCCCCCGTCAACGTGCCATCTCAAGCGGGGATAATTTTTACATTTTGCGTAAAAATATCCTTTAAACAATGTACTTTAACTAACGTTCAGACGACACCCAAACTAGTGCCATACTAACAGTCGGGAAACCGATCAGACCTGCTGTTCGTAGAGAGTGCAATTCTGTTGCACGACATGCGCTTTCCGTGACGATCCTGAGATGTTATTTGCAGAGGCGAACACCTTGATCAATTACGTGTCATTTCCATAAGTACTTCAATCATCTCGTGTCTGTTATGAAGTGCGAATAAACAAAACTAAGAGACAACACATACTGGTTTTCCATGTCTTCCAAATACATTTTTTTCTTCCTACGGCTTTCTTGGGCTGACAGCTGAAACTAGTTTTTCAAAAATGCCTCAAAAGAAAGTAATGCTTTACTTTGTTTTTTATTTTCCTCCTGACTTGTCTCAAACGGCGTTCTTCCGCGTCTGAAAGTGGCAACTTCGTTGGGACTGGCCATCCTTCCTGAATCAAAGTGCGGATCTCTTCGCTTGAAAGCGTCAACGGGCCAACACTGGCTGAATTCTACAATAGACAATTTTGGTTATGTAAAAATTGGGTCATGAGCACACATTTGCTTTACGCTACTACATAACGCATTCGAATATTTATGAATATAAAAACAAGAGTTCATGAAATGGTAAAACGTGAAAGCCAAGATAAATTAAGGCTGCTTTTTAGACAAAACATCAGCTGCGAACAAATTCAGTTACATCAACACATATATCCGTAAAGAAGATATACAAGATACTGACCCATACATCGTACTCAATAATTTAGTGCATGACATCGCGTTGTACTAAGCAAATTTCGTTTATGTTTAATTTCATAATAGCTGCATAGGATTACTACTAAGAGGAAAGGAGCACAGCATTCACTTTAACAAGCGGGTTAGAACCAAAGAGCGGCAAAAATATTTTTTATTAACTGCCAATTCCATTGAACACAATATTTATTATACTACGTCTCAAGCAACCAGAAGACAAACGGGAATATACCTGATGTTGATGACGATCTGCGAACATTAAAACACGATGGTGTTCTGGTGCGAGGGCTTAGGCGGTCTGATGCATGAGCCTTTGCTCATCTAACAAGTGACTAGTTAACCCAATGCATAAATCTTAAAAAAGAGGACAATCAACGTAACAAACAACTGATTAGTTATTGCAGTTCATCTGCAATCTAATCGCTAACGAACATGGTCAGTGATGCCGTTGCTGTTAGTCAGAACTACCTTTATATGGAGTGAAACAGTTTTGTTATTACTTTCCAGTTTTCACATATTGATTGCACATATTACTGAGAAAAAAACAGCATTAAAACTTTGTACATAACGTGACGTAATCGTCTATCGGATGATCGACTGACAACAAGATCCACCCTTGTCTTCATCCCCTCTTTAACCCAACTCGCTTGACATATTGAATTATTAAATGTCGCAAACAGTTGCCACACTCCACCTTTCTTGCCATAATTTGCCCTTTCTTCCTACCCTGTATAATGTGTGAAATGATCGTAAGCTAATCCCAATGTCAAACCTGGATTGCAACTTGTCGATGAGCGCTATCCAGATCCATCGCTACGAATTGGTCTGTGATAATAATCAAGCAAGAATTTTTCGGTACACTACGAATTACTCTGTTGATCATCCCTTGTCGTCTCGTCGCGCGGCTAGCCTACAGGTGAATATCATGGTCTCTTTATTTTGTCAAAAGTTAACATGATATTAATCCATGCGCGACATTTTTGAAAAAATTTTTCGGCATCTTCGAATAATTTAGCATTCGCGATCTTTTCAGTTAGTCTGTAGCGAGCATTCTAACCAACCTGGGCATTCAAATACTGAGATTGTTACATTCCTTCTAGATGACGGTCTTTGCTGCGATGACATACATCTGCACTAGTCGAACAGGGATTTTCCACCGATTATGCTTCCGCGTGTTGTCAGCAGTTCAAACTTTTCTAATATTTGCTTCTTCATGTGCTTCGGTCTTTTTTGCCGCTCGCGGTCATGAATCCAAGATAGCAGCTGGCTAAAACTTCCCCATAAATCTTCATATTGTTGACTTCCCATGGGACTTACCGTGAAGGAAGAACAATGCCCTTGGATGGTTTCAGTCTCATTTAGGGCATTTAGCGTTGGCGAATTCTCAATCTTTCCATGCCTTCCTAACTTTCTTTGCTTTGTTGCAATGAAAGCAACGTCGTCAGATAATTCAAATTCTGTAACCTGCGTCTGATGGATGGAGCACTACGCCGTAGGTGGCTCTATCTTTCATTGAGATCTGCTGAGCATCTCATTTTGAGAACAATATCTACAGCTACAGGGCAAACATTATATGGCCTTCGATTCATTTCACAGACAATAACCGTCGCTCATCGACCTCAGAAACAGGGAAGGCGTGTGATCCCGCAAATAGACTGCCCGTCTGAAGTTGAATTCAAAGCGCTGCCAGAGGGTCTAGTGGTAGTAGACAGGCAACAGTATTATAATTGTTTTTCAGTATAAACATCAACAGAGCTTCGCATGTACGTGTGCTAACTGACGCCTAATTCTTCCATAATCAGATTTACAACGGATGTGCCACCCCTTGCTCATAGCTGCATGAAGAAATCATCTGTTACTGAGCTGTGCTCTGTTTAGATAGCCTCGTAAGCAGTAATGAGTAAGGAACATATAGTTAAACACGCCGCGAAGTCTAATTTTTAAGAAACTGTGCAACAGCTACTTCTCTTAAAAATAAGCGACCTAAGGTTACGTATAAAAGAATCCACTTATTAATTTTTATTTACATTTTACATATCTTACGTCAGCTGTCAGATGGGTGAAAGCGAATAGCAACCTTAAAGCGCACCCATCAGACCTTTTCGCATTTTTTGACAAGACTGTACCAGAACACCATGCAGTCCATATTGTTTGCAGGTAAATGAATTGTTACCTGCTGACTGCACTGGAGTAGAGAACGAATTGCATATTCAAGGGAATCAGCTGTTACTAAAGAGATGTTTGAACAACGGCGAGATTCGAATGCGACACCTCTAAGTTTCAAAGCAAACTATTTATCCAATACGCCACCACCCTCAGTTCTGCATGTACTGGCAACATGAGAACATGCGTATTTTCGAAAGAACTGGCAACATGCGGGCACGAGTGTCAAATGGTTAACTTGCTTGTGTGTTTGCCTAATCATTACCATGAGCTGTATGCACAAGTCGATTATCTCTGGCTTGTCACATCCGCAGTCTTCACAGCTTTACAACACTTTTGCTATAAGGTATCCGTTACTGCAGTGTAAAAGAAAATATTCCTCTACAAAAGAGGGATGTACCTCTACTACTACTTTGCACTCACATTTGCAAGCTGGTCTCCTGGATTACGTCTGCCTATTTCGGCTCCCACACGCGACGCTCGCGGGCTGAAGTAAATGTTTCAAACTTAACCAACTTTCTAAGAGGGCAAAACTTTTTTTAATCACCATATCTACACGGGAAAAATGTGTGGAATATAATCGAGTCATTCGTTACGTGGTCCTGTAATCTAACCTTCATTATGAGCCAAAATCAACGCTCTACGCAGTTCAACCATCGTTCCTGGTCCTTCGTTAAAATAACTGTTCGAATAACGTTAGAATAACTGTTTTCCTGGGTACAACAACA